CAGGGACTGAAAACAGCTCGAGAACAACGAGGAGAAAAAAAAAAGAAGAAGAAGAAGAAAAGAAAGAAAGAAAGAAAGAAAGAAAGAAAGAAACGTAAGAAGAGCGTGAGCGAGAGCGATGGGAGAAAGGTTATCGTTGAAAAATTGTGCCGGCATTACTTCAGCTCCAAAAATCTCCGTGGAAACGACTCGGCTCTTTTCCCTGCCCTCTCGCCGCTCGAGAGGACGGAAACAAACGTTGGCGAGGACGAGTGCAGCCAGAAGGGAGGCGACGCGCCTTCTTAAAGGCCGCCAGAGAGGAAACTTCAGAGATTCCACCCCTACTCGTTAGCTGTTACAACTTCCACGAGCGTGCGATTCTCGCTTCCCCATAAAGCGTCCTCGACGATTCGACCAAAGCTGTATAATATGCAACCCTTCACTTCTCGAACACCTCGCTCGTTTCTCCCCACATTCTCTCTCTCTCTCTCTCTCTCTCTGTCTCTCTCTTTGCCTCTCACTCACTCGATACGAGAAATTTCAATTTGCGACGAACTGCGTACCGCGTACGCGACGAACTCGGGGAATTTTCTCCGTAAGGAGAACGGAGGGTTATGGAAAATTGGAATTGAAACGGTTTTGGTGGAATTTTAAGCCTACGTTCCACCGGTTATTCTCGACCCGGTAACATTTTTTTTTTTTTTTGACGGTGGTGAAACTTTTCTTTAGAAGATGAGCAAAAGAAGTTTGATATGACTTCACGTTTCAATTTCGTGTGAAAACTTTACTTTTCCGTTGCCAAAACGAGAGCCGAATCGATAGGTAAAGATTCAAAGATCGTGGCAGCAGAGAAAAATACTTTTTCATCGAATTGAACCGAGAAAATAGGCGAAGATTTTGTGAACTTTCATCCGCGAATAATCGTCAAGTGAAGCGCAAAATGACGGAATTATTTCCTAGTTTCGATTGTCCTGATCACCATTATCGCAAAGTATAGTGGAACATTTGACACAAAAAGTCTCTATTTAAAAATAGAGATGTATCATCCAAAACGCAGTAATTTCGCAGCTAGTAAGTAACACGACCATTTTGTAACAATATAACTTAAGAAGAAATTGAAAAGAAGCTGTGTATCTCGGAAACAAATTTTCGCTCGATAATTATTTATGAGAAGGGAGGAATTACATTTCTTAAACCGTACACTTGTTATGTTAAATATTATTAACTTAACTTACACTAAATATTATTACTATAATAATATAATATAATAATAATTGAATATTAAAACTATAATATTAAGCACTAATTATTAGACTGATTAAAGATATAAAATTTTAATTATTAGTGCTTAATATTATAAACTATAATATTATAATATTAAACTATAATATTATAATACTAACTATAATATTATAATATTAAACTATAATATTAAGCACTAATTATTAGACTGATTAAAACTATAAAATTTTAAACTATAATATTAAGCACTAATTATTAGACTGATTAAAGCTATAAAATTTTAAACTATAATATTAAGCAGTAATTATTAGTACTTAATATTATAAATTATAATATTAAACTATAATATTATAATATTAACTTTAATTACTATAATAATATTAAATACTATAATACTATAATATTATAATATAATATTATATTATAATATTATTCTATGTCCTTATAATATAATAATATAATATAATATTATAGTTAATATTTAATATTTAATATTATCTATAATATTATAATATTATAATACTATAATACTATAATATTATAATATTAAACTATAATATTAAGCACTAATTATTAGACTGATTAAAGCTATAAAATTTTAAACTATAATATTAAGCACTAATTATTAGTGCTTAATATTATAAATTATAATATTAAACTATAATATTATAATATTAACTTTAATTACTATAATAATATTAAATACTATAATACTATAATATTATAATATAATATTATA